TGCATAATCATCTTTGTCGTCCCTCTTCTGTTCTGTTCTGAATGAAAAGGTTTTTGGTGTGTGTGTTTAATTTTGTGTTGTGTTTCTGTCCGCAAATGACAAGGTTTTGGTTGTGTGTGTGTATGTTGAACCCTCACAAGTTCACGAAGATTCGACTTTTGTTTTGTGAAAATTCTGAAGGAAAATGGTTGTGATGGTGATAACAGGTCAAGGGAGGAAGATGATGGCATTGGTGGGTGCTGTTATTTTTTGGTTCGTGTGTGTGCCCCTTTTCTAAATTAAATAATAATTGTCTTGAGTTTGGACAGGGACCAAAACCACATACAAACATAGGGAGCATTTTTGCAGTTTTGTCTTGAATGTACCTGATTGACAAGGTGAAGATTTGGATTTGGATGGAAAAGTAGTAAAATGAAGAGGAACAGTGTTCTTTCCGTACCTGCAATGCAATATTGGTGTACACAAAGGAGAGCCCTGTAATAATTTCAAGTGCAATAAAGTTAAAAAGTAGCCACCTTTATTGTAAATGACTTAAGGGAGGGTGGGTACTCATAAATTAATAGCAAGCTACTTAGTTTAATTATTAATAACCAATGTTGCATTGCTTTTATATGCTGAAAGTAAGTATGTTCCTATAAACGGGAAAGTAAATTGCTATTAATTTAAATTTCCTCTTAACAACCTAAAACATTATTACTTGCAACTAACCCTTCCTTAATATTTATTTATTATTAATAGTAACATTATAATTCATAAACATAATAATTTGTTAAAAACTTGGTAGGAATAGGAATGGCATCCACATTACTATTACTCCCCTTCTTCCAAAATACCAAAATGCAATCCATGCCTTCTTTTAGCCAACTCATTAATTCTACAATAGTATTTGCCAAATTAAATATACAACGACTGAAAGTACATAAATTGCTAGCTATATTTGAGTTGAGGGTTTCTTTCTGGCTTAAAGTAGAAATAACAAAGATGAAACTCTTTTTTATAGAGAAAAAAAAAGATGCATTATTTACTTTGTTACCTTCATATTGTTGATGTAGAGAGGAAAGAACGGAGATACATCAGCTTCAACAGAGATCTTGTTGTAAGCTTGAAACACAAACGATGAGCGGAGCCTTTCTTCTTATTTACTGAAAAAGAATGAAGAAAACATACATGTCATGTGAGGGTCATATCATACACTTATTAAAAGTAAAAATCTAAAATCAACCACATGGGTCAATATTGTCTTTTTCTATTATTTCTTTTAATTAATTGACAAACATATTCTATTATCATAACAATTCAGTTCTTGGATTGATATTAAAAAAAAAAAAAAAAAAAAAAAAAAAAAAAAAAAAAAAAACAGGTCAAGGGTACCCCTCAACTCAATTGATCATTTGATCCACAAACATTACAAATTGATTGAAATTAGGAACCCACCGATAATTCATGTGGAAGGGGAAGGCAGACCTCTATTTATGGAACAATACCTACATTCAAATAACAATGAAATCAAATCAAATGTTTGGAGTCAGATTAAAATCTTAAAAATTATTAAACATACCATACCCAACTTAGTGGATAGGACATGGACACTTATCTAGATTAGATTCTGGAAGGTATTTTTGTCAAAACTTGAGATGATTTTTTGAAAGATTGATTCATTTATCTCCCTTTGATAACTCTATGTATGTCCTGAAACCATGAAATCAAATGTTTCTGAGTCAGATTAAAATTTAAAAAATTATTAAACATACCATACCCAACTTAGTTGCTAGGACATGGACATGGACATGGACACTTATCTAGATTAGATTCTGGAAGGTAGTTTTGTCAGATGATTTTTTGAAAGATTGATTCATTTATCTCCTTTGATAACTCTATCTCTATGTATGTCCTGAAACAATGTAATCACATGTTTTTGAGTCAGATTAATATTTTAAAAATTATTAAACATATCACACCCAATTGTTATTGCTAGGACATGGACCCTTGTCTCGATTAGTTTGGAGTAAATCTCGGAAAAAATAAATACCATTTTTTGCAGTTTTGCTTTTAATCTACTTCATCGGTAAGGTGAAGATTTGGATTTGGATTTGGATGGAAAAGTAGTAAAATGAAGAGGAACAGTGTTCTTTCCAAACCTGCAATGCAATATTGGTGTGGTGTGGTGTAACCACAGACACAGACACAGACACCATTTAGTAGAGCTTCAAACCCATCTGATGGAATCTACAAATGAAGGAGAATGAGATAACATACGAAAAATGACCAATATTATTATTCACTTTAAAAAGTCTAATTTACCTGTCTAAGTCGATTACTATCGAGTTTTAAACACACACACACAAACACTAGATGTTGAAGTGACTTCAAGATTGCACTTGTTCCTTGATAAAATCAAAATCAAAGTCTGCAAGAACAATAATCCTTTAATAATTAATTACCACTGATACTTTTCATATTTGGATTAAAAAGTGGGCGAGGGAAGCACATGAAGAAAGTTCAACAGGTAGATCTTCAATTGTGTTTCTTGAAATTAAGATCAACATTTGTGGTGGAACAACACTTAACCCATGCCCTCCTAAAGAAAAGGGTTTATTTTTTTAAATCATATTTTCACATTTTTTACAAAATTATTCAGATTCTTTAATAATAATCTATATGTTGGATGAAAGAAGTAAGAAAATATAACCTTTGAAGCAAGCGATAAACTTTCTGCATCATTTTTAATTATTATATTAGAAATAAATCAAATGAATTTCGACAAAAACATTCATTTAGGGATTGGATTATCCACTTAAAAGCTAAAGCAAGCCCATATGGAATTGATTGAAGAAAACCTGTTGCAATTTGTGGCGTTGAATGCTTCCCCAGATTGCTTTCCATTCCGATTCCGGTGGCACAGGGGGCATGGCTAAAACTTGGGGATTCCTATCATAAAATCCAACATCTAAATCTTAATTACAAAATAAATAAAAGATGTTGATCATTTCAAAAACCATAAACAGAGAGTTAGTTACAAAATCAGAAATGAAACCAACTTAACTTGCTCCTCTGTGGAAAATTCCGTTGGTTTGGTTTCTTCTTCTCCAAGACCAATGAAATCCCATGAATGCGTAATGTGTTGTGTGCAGCTTCCTTCCTCTTTTTACTCTCAAACACTCCTTCCATCTCTACAAAATAATAGTAACTCCCTATAAAATATATAATATTATAATGAAAAAAAAAAAAAAAACAGAAACGTACAGACAAAAAGATGTTACTTTTTGTCATGTTTGACGCGGGAGCAGAAGATTTGACTAGCATCAATCAAAAACAAAGCATTGGTTACTTGTAGATTTTGCTTAATTGTTTTGTACTAGTTAAATTTTAGGGAGTTTTTTGAAATAGAAAGGTAGATGGTTTATAGTTGTTTGATTTTTTTTCTTTAATAAGGCATTGCATTGTGATATTACAGACTAGGGCAGAATCGAATTGATAGACTATTAGTAGAATGTATTACAAACCGATTGAAATTAGGAACTCACCAATAATTCATGTGGAAGGGGAAGGTGGACCTCTATTCTATTAGTGGAACAGTACCTACATTCAATTAACAATTTAAGCATCAGATTAAAATTTAACAAAATTATTAGTTGCTATTTTTGCTAGGACATGGACACTTATCTAGATTAGATTCTGGAAGGTAGTTTTGTCAATTTCTTGAAAATTTATGATTTATCTCCTTTGATATCTCTACGTATGTCCTGAAACAACAAAATCAAATGTTAAAATTTTAAAAATGATTAAATATACCATACCCAACTTAGTTGCTAGGACATGGACACTTATCTAGATTAGATTCTGGAAGGTAGTTTTGAGATGATTTCTTGAAAGATTCATTCATTTATCTCCTTCGATAACTCTATGCATGTCTGATGAAGAACAGAAATTAGGGTTTGATGAAATAGGATCAAACCTCTGAAAGATTGAAAAGAAAGAAGATGATGAAATTGACTAATTGATTACACGATTAACACAATCTAAAAGATTGCCCAGGGAATCTCCCTCTCTCTAAACCGAAAGCTTAAGATTACACTACCAATTTCTCTAGACATCCCTCTACTGTGACCTTTCTCTCTATTTATTATAATCCTAGCCCACCTAGGTGAATTTCCGGTTTTGCCCTTTACTGGGCCTTCTAGACAAAACCTATAAAACTCTTGCTTAAATGGTATTTGGGCCCAGCAATACCCATTTCCTATCATTTTAAGTGGAACCTTCTATTCATAGAAACAGATGATCAGGACAGAGGGTATCCTAAATGAACACTTACAAACATTCTTAATGAATAATCAATTCATATTTCTCTCAATCGATCCTAGCATGTATGTAGCAAAAGGGGGGAAACATATATCTGGAAAATTGTATTAAACTTTTATCCACTAAAATTTGAACGTCATAAAATCATCTATAATATGTAACACATGTGAATTTACTTTAAGATGAAAAGTAGGGAGGGCAATCCACAGAGGATAGTGAGAAGAGAAAATTACCAATGGCCACAACAGGCCAGTCGATGAGGCGATACAAAATCAGGGAAAATAAATCTCAAATTGAGATTCACGTTTTTTCAACCCATTTCTTCCCTCTTTTCCCTTCCTCGGAATTCAAAAAAAAAAAAAAAAAGATACCGCTCCTGCCACAATAAGCAACTTCATTCTCTTTTATTTCCATTCGATAGAGAAATTATCATAAAGCTACAGGGTATAGGTCTCGCTTGAATCTGTTGTTTAGAGATAATTCCTTGAAAGATTCATTCATTTATCTCCTTTGATATCTCTATGTATGTCCTGAAACAACAAAATCAAATGTTTCTGAGTCAGATTAAAATTTTAAAAATTATTAAACATACCATACCCAACTTAGTTGCTAGGACATGGACACTTATCTAGATTAGATTCTGGAAGGTAGTTTTGAGATGATTTCTTGAAAGATTCATTCATTTATCTCCTTCGATAACTCTATGTATGTCCTGAAACAATGAAATCAAATCAAATGTTTCTGAGTCGGTTTAAAAATTATTAAACATACCCAGCTGCTAGGAATAACCAACCAACAGAAGAATTTAAAAGAGACAAATAATAAGCAAGAGGACTTTAATTAAATAAAGTACATTATTACCTGCAATTTTGCTTTCTCGTGCACAACTTTTCATAATTCAAATCCATACTTTAACATGACAATAAAACTCAAGGAGTAAATAATCAACTGAAGAAATCATACTTACTGCATAAGAAACAAAAATTTTCATTTGAATCCAACCCTAGACCTCCCCTCCTTCTTCCATGTTTGTACACTGCTACTGCAACAAAAAAATCAAAATTATATAAAAAAAATTAACTGCAAGCTAAATATTGAAGAAAAAAAACAACTCAGTGCCAGCCAGTTAGTTTTCTTGGCAGCTGAAACTTGCAAGGGCATAATGGTAATTTTCTACCCCAATTAGAAGTGATTGTAAAAAACAAAACTCTCAATGCCAGTTAGTTTGAAACTTGCAAGGGCAAAATGGTAATCTTTTTTCCTACCTACTAAGAAACATATTTTAACAATTTAAGCCTAGCCTAACCCTTTTCATATTATCAAAGCAGCAGCATATAACATACAGATGATAAGAAATGACACGTGACCTTTTTTTATGCAGCTTTCATGGCCTAGTGTCCATACGGGAGGAGTGATCAGCCAGGTGGACAAACGGGCCCGGAGGTTGATTAATCCGGTTGGGGTCCTCTGTAATTAAAAAAAAAAAAAAGTAAATAGTATTAGTTGCAGGGAACAGCAAGCAACATACTTTACTCTCACTACCAAGTACCAATATTGGCAATGTTGGTTACTGATAATAGCAACATAAAATTTGAAACTTATAGAATAGTCCTAGACAATGCCATATTAAACAAAATAATCAGAACGATCGCATTCCTAAATCTGGGACAGATGATTGAGGATTAGCGTTAATGTATACACATTACATTACATTACATGTGTTTATTAAGTCATTCTTTTTGCATTGAGTTAAAAAAGAAATACCCATGTAGTTTATTCCGTGTTCTCATTAAGTAGAAAAGAAACAACACTTAAAAAGTTAATGCTCTTAGCTTCATTTAATAGACTCTTTTGTTCACATGGAATGGATGCATAAGAATTGTTCATTGTTGCTACATATCATTGTCAATTCTTTCATTAGATATAAAAATGATGGTAATGACCCTTTTTCTAACAGAAATGAAGAATTATGCTTAATCGTAAAGTACGGATCTTGAAATTGTACCTTTAGGAGTAGTAACAACAGAATGATTGGTTAACTGTTGCTCAAAATTCCCCACTCTTTTCTGCTAATACTGTAATCACAGAAATTTACAAATTCATGACCATTTTCTTTACTTTTTTTGACTTGATGCAAAAAGAACAAAACTTAACTGCTACTGGAAGGAATAACTTACTTACTATGTATGTGGTTTTCTTTTTGTGGATGTAACATCTTCAACAGGACTGGAGCAGAATTCTTGTCATCCTTCCTTTACCTCAATTTTTTCCCTCGATTTTTGCAAGTCGACGATTAGTTGGTATTTAAGTTTAAGGAACTAAAATATAGTAATTTAATAGATGAAATTTCTACATTTACCTCTTTATTAAACTCTGAACGACATGCATGCAATGCAGCATCTATTATCAAACAACTAAAGTCACCAATATTCCCGTGTTAATTTTTTTTTGATATCTTCCTGGCTTCAGCCTTAGAGCCGAATTGCTGTGACATTCTGCTTCATTGGAGCATGAGTATACAAAATCCTAGTTTTCTATTGTTGTATGTTCTACAAAGTCTAGGATCAAATGTTTTTCCTAATAAACTACTTTGAAGGACCTTATACCCAAATTATATAACCATCTGCCAACTTGTTGCAAAGGAGGGCAAGCCATTTCATCACAAATTTAAAAAAAAATCCAAACAATTCGAAATTGACCATCTGCATTCACATGTTCATTTGTTGTTAACTTTCAACTAAGAAATGACTAAACTATAAATTCATGACCATATTCTTTTCTTTTTTTTTTTGACTTAATGAAAAAAGAACAAAGCTTAAGTGCTAATGGAATAACTTACTACATGATTTTCTTTTTGTGGATGTTCCATCTTCAGAGAGACGCCTCTTGGAACCATTTCCTCCTGCTTTTTTTTTTGCGCCTCGCTATCTCCATCCGAAATGCTTCTTTCTTCCTGTTCCTCTCATTCTCCTGTTTTTCTTGGCGTATTTTTGCAGCCTTAGCTGCCACTAACGCCTTCACTTTAATGTCTCCTCTCCTACCTTCAAAGACAAAAAACAATGTCATTTTTTGGTAATTCAAACTTTGGAATAGAGAAAATTTTAACTACCTGGCCAAACTGCAGCTGCTTGTTTTTGTGGATGTGGAACAAATGATGTGATGTTTGGTGTTAAATCCCCCTCTGAAGTCGATGTTGACCTGTCCCAGAGATTTCCCAAATCAACAGGAGATGAACAAAAATGCTTTGTTTGCCAATTAAAGGGAAGCGAATCGTCAGTTTGCTGCTGTGTTGGATAAGAATAATCCGCTATGGTCACCGAATCATAATCAGCGCTAGTTGAAATATCCATATCCTCATAATCAGCGCTAGTTGAAATATCCATATCCTCATAATAAAAGTCTTCAACTTGATGTTGAGTAGATGAACACTTGGAAACTGGTGTAACAGTTTCATCATAGTCAACCACAGTAAAACCAACATCATCATATTCAGAAGCCTCACTTTCCACTTCAGTAAATGCTGGCTGTGTAGAATAATGCATAAGAAAAATCAGGAGAAAAATGTTAAATAAAAGAAGGGAAATGCTATTACAACTTCACTTGACATAATGAGAAAAGAAAAGCATATTACTCCTGGTATTGGATATGTAAAGGAATATATCCATCCATGTTTGGTATATCTTATACTGATATTTAGAAATGGGTTATATACATATATTCTGTCCAATTTCAAGTAACATCTCAATGGAATGGGTTTCCAGTTACATTCTTGATGGTTGGAATGCAAACAGGGTTTGTAAATTTGGGGTAAAAAGGTAGATTATGATGAGAAACCTCAATGCATGCTAAACTGTTTGTTGAAGAAAAAAAAAACTAAAGGGAATGGATTTAATGTTTAAACCAAGTACAAATCCTACATATCATGAGTATGTATAAGTTTTGAAAGGCATATTTTGGTGGGTTCTTTGAGAAGTGACATTTACCTCACAGTAAACAGCAGCATCATCATGCAGGGAAACCATAGGGTTGTGCTCAACATCCTCCACCATTCTGTTCTTGGGAAGCAGACTCTCCTCCACCAATGGATTCAGATCCAAGTCCAAATCGATATTCATTGTCTCTGTACTTGTACACGCATCAAAATCCTCATGAGAACGTATCATTGCAGACTTCAACTGGATCTGGATTGACTGCTGCTCACTGGATTTATCATCTTTTAATGAAGCAGAATCCATATTCATTGAGGGATTGCCCAACAGTTCTCTAATCCTGGAAAGCAGACTAGTAACTTTATTTGAATCGCATCCATCCATTTCATCAAACTTCAGTTGCTTAGGTTTTGTCTCTGTACTTGTACACGCATCAAAATCCTCATGAGAACGTATCATTGCAGACTTCAACTGGATCTGGATTGACTGCTGCTCACTGGTTTTATCATCTTTTAATGAAGCAGAATCCATATTCATTGAGGGATTGCCCAACAGTTCTCTAATCCTGGAAAGCAGACTAGTAACTTTATTTGAATCGCATCCATCCATTTCATCAAACTTCAGTTGCTTAGGTTTAACAAGAATACAGCACTCAGAAGATTGGTTTAAGGCTAAACCATCTGATTCCCTAGGGCACATGGTGACAGGATCCAACATCTTTTTAGAATTTACTTCAAAGCCTGCATCTTCAATAGTTTCTTTGATTGCTTTTACCTGAAAACATGAACATCATTATACTTTTGCTAAAAAATGTCTTTGTTCTCTAAAATATGACAAGAAACACAAAAGAGGTAACAATGGGAGCTTACATCAACAAGTTCTGGAACTACACCCTGGCCTTGAAGTGGTGACACACCATTGAGATCCAGAAGTAAAGACTCATTGGATGATGAGCATGATGCATATTCTATTCCACCTATTTTGAATGTAATGGTTTTAATCCCTTGATTGACACTATGGACTGATTTACTATCAACTGCAACAGCATCAGAGGGATTCAGAAGTGGTGTCTTCAAATCATCATCCTTCCCATTGACTTCCATTCCTGCAACCAAATCCACAACCCATTAGTAGACTAGAGTATAAATAAATGATCAAGTAGACTTTAAAAACTAACCCAAAATAACTGTCATCTCTCATATTTCATAAAAATAAACTGTAAACCCTAGAAATTAAATAAACTGCATTGCAACAATAGAATAACAAAGTGCACCAATACCTTCTTTTGGATTGTAAGAAGCAGAGATGCCCAGTTCTAAGGACTTGTTTATCCCGCTAGTTTGTTGACTTGAACCTCTAGCAGATTTGCAGTCGATTGGCAATTCCAGAGTTTCAAACTCTACTCCACCATCAATGCGTGTTTGATCAGATTCAGAAGCTGCACTTTTGATCCAAGTAGGTCCAGATTGTTCGTGTTCCACTTCAGTAAATGTTGGCTGTGAAGAATAATGCATAAGAAAATTCAGCAGAAAGAAGTTAAATAAAGCAAAGGAAATGGTATCAATAAAAATTCCCTTGACATAACTAGAACATTCATACCTCTATAGCTTGAAGCTCATGCAATGAATTTTTCCTTTTTAGAAAACCAAACAACATCTCATCATCAACTCGGCTCTGAATAATGTCATCTGATTGGGACTGGGAGATGGAGATTTGGTCTTCAACATTCCTATGTGGCCACGTAGCAAAATCCTTGTCTCCTTGTTTGGATAAACATGAACTTGAAGCAAGGGAGACAGTTGTAAAATCACCACCAGCATTTTCATCCTGAATATCAACCTATCAGAAAAGACAGATATGGCATGAATAATGTAGATTTCTACTTTGTACACCCTAATTTTGATTGAATAAAACTGTTTTTTTCTTGCTAAACCTCCCCAGTTCTTGTTATGAACAATTCAGAAAGTAATACATGTATTAAGATCAGGGATGTGTGAAAATGGAATGTTTTGTGGTGGTTTTGCAAGTATGTTACCCTAATGAGAAAAGAAAAGCATATTACATTACATGGTATTGGATATGTAAGGGATGCCTACATATCATGAGTATGTATAAGTTTTGAAATGCAAGTTTTGGGTGATATACTTTACCTCTGAAAGAATAGCAGCAGCAGCAGCAGCATCACATAGGGAAACCTTAGGGTGGTTGTGCTCAACATCCTCCTCCTTTGAGTTCTCATTTATGTTCATCATCTCATCTTTTGCACACTCATCATGAGAATTTGCCCTTGCAGCTTTTGATTGGTTTGATTTTACATTCTCCATCACTAACTGCTGTTCACCACTGGACTTATGATCTATTGTTGATGAAGCAGAATTACATTCCCGTCCCAAAAATCCGTCCAGCTTTCTGTTCTTGGAAAGCAGACCATCCTCCTCCACCATTGGGTTCTCTGTAGATTGAAGGTCTTTCCCTTCTAGAAAAGGGAACAACATCCCACCATGAACTCGCTTGTCATCATCAATTGATTGGGACTGGGAGATATCCAGTTCATCAAGATCCAAGAAATCTTCATTTTTTGGCTGTAAAAGAAAAAAACACATAAAAGAAACATTGTTAGAAATGGGTTATATATATTTCGTCCAATTTCAGTAACCATGAATTATATTGCAATAACCATGAAAAACTCCATTAAAATCACGCCTTTCAACAACCCTTTTACCAATAGAGATAACAAAATGCCTTATCAAATCTGTTATAAAAACAGAAATAACAAAGTCCACTGCTATAACCGAGATTAAATCAGAAATGGTAATATATAGACAGAGGAAACAAGTAACAAAGTACATTTCTATTATCCATTGTATCAAATTGCATAAAGCCCAGTTCCACTAGCCGATTCCTTTTCTTTTTTATCCAAAAACACCATTGCAAAATATAATTATATAACTAGTTCAATTCAGATACCAATTCTTTAAAATTAAAATGTAAAATAATCACATAAACCCATATTTATATTTTAAGAAGAAGTAGGTTGATGTTATAGCAAGAATTTGAAAAACAACAGGAAAGTCAATCTCCAAAGTACAATGCAATAGTTAGAAACATTAAAGTTTTCGAAACTCGACTTAAGAGTAATAAAATAAATACATATTTTAAAAAGAGTGAGTCTGAAAAATAGCTATACTTACAGAGTAAAGAAAATCAAACATCATCTCATCATGGACACGCTTGGGCAACTCAGAACTTGTCGAGCAATCCTGTTTAAAGAAAAAAGAAAAAACATAAGAAAAAGAACCGATAAAGAAACCCAATAAAACTACATGAATCGGAATCGGATATAGAGAAATATCCAGAGAATAGACATCGTCCACACAATCAAAACAGTTGACTGTGTGGTTGAAGGTGGTGGTGATTGTGCGGTTGAAGGCGGTGGTAATTGTGCGGTTGAAGGCGTTGGTCTGCGAAGACGCTGAGAGAAAGAAGAACGCTAAGAGAAAGAAGAAGAAGAAAACAAAGTTTCTTGAGAATGTTGTCATGATCAAAGAAACTGAAAGAAATCGTAAATTGTTAGATCGCTGTTTTGTGCGAAGGATTGTTGCGCGGTGGGTTTTAAATAAGGTGTACGGCATGGATAGCAAGCTACGCGTGTGAAAACCTACGTGGAGGAGAACTAATTTTGAAAGCTCCTTGGACATTAAAAACATCTTTTGTCTACTCTATTATATTATTTTTTTATTTTTATTTTTATTTTTATTTTATAGCCTTTTTTTATCATTATCTTGTTATCTTATGATCATCTGACTAATTATTTTCATTAAATTTATAATTTAATTATTATATTATTATTGCTTATTAATTCCAACTAATCATCTCTATTAATTTTATAATTATTTAAATGATATTTTATAAATAAATATTAACAAATATGATTCTTTTTCCTAACTACATCACCCTTTCTTTTCAGGGTAAAAAAAAAGTTATTTTTTAACTTATTGTATCTCACGGACGTCAATACAACTGTTTTTCTTTCTAAAATTTGTTTCGATACCACAAAAATAATAAACTAATTTATAAAAATGCATTACTAAATAAATAATTTATTGTCTTTATCTCCTATGTTCCCATCTCCCATCGCTATGTAAAGAATAAAGATAGACAAAGAAGCTTTAAGGAATAGAGAACTGAAGTGATCGACAAGAATCCAGGATACAACGGTGGTGTGCGGCGGCGTTTCGAAAATGATGACGGTGGGGGTGTGATGCGGTGGTGGGTGGCGGTGTTCGGTGTGGAGGGTCGACAGAGGGGTGTGATGCGGTGGCATTCCATCGGTGATGGTGGGTAGGGTCGACAAAGGGTGGGTTTTGCTGCGGTGGTGTGTGGTGGCGGTGATGGACAGAGGCTCATAATCATAGAAGCAGGCTGGTGGTGGTGGTGGTGTGTGGCGGCGCTCCACCAGTTATAGTGGTGGTGAGGGTCCAAAGTTGTTGTTTACCAAAAGAAACACAACAGAGGGTCTTGGCATTGCTTCATCTTTTTTTTTTTTTGATTTATTCTGTAATTAAGTTTAACCTATATAAATATAAACTATATAGAAGGGTGCAGGTTAATATGGATATATAATTATTAGGCCGGAGGGAGTGTGGCAACACTCCCTCATGAAACCGTAGTGCCACGTAGGCGACACATCAACAATTACCATAAAAGTGTGGTTTCATGCCACACCCAAGAGGTGGTGCCACACTCAATTTAAAAAATAAAAAAAATAAAAAAATAAAAAAAAAACTGACCATGCATGTATAACCAAAGTTTCTACCTTGAAAACAACGCGATGAAGGCTCTAAACACAGTGTGTAGATAAAAAGGGGAACCATGCATGCATAACCAAAGTTTCTACCTTGAAAACTACTACAAGTATGTTACCCAAATGAGAAATGAAAAGCATATATGATATAATATTTTAGATATATACCCGTGTTTGGTATATACTTAGAAATGCTTTTTTTTTACCAAAATAATAATAATAATAATAATAATAATAATAATAATAATAATAATAATAATAATGTTTCAACCAAGTACAAATCCTACATACATATCATGAGTATAACTTTTCAAAGGCAGGTTTTGGTTTGGGTTTACTGATATTAAGATTATTAAACTTAAGGGAGGTAAATTCTAACTATGAGTGGAAAATGTTGCTTTAAGCAATCGGTTAACCTTATTGATATGAAGCACTAAATTAACCAAAAATGATAAAAGTGTCTGTAAAGTAGGAAGAATCAAAATGTTAAGTTAGAATTCCCATACGGACTTTATGTTAATGGCTTTTTATCCTTAAATGAATGGAAAAAAATTCAGTTTTTGATGACATTTTATCTAATTTATGGATTTTAAAAAGAAAACTATTTATTTTATAGGGATGCATAATCTTTCATTCATCAAATCAAAATGTTTACTAGATGTTTTTCTTCATATAGGAGATATATATATTTACCTCACAAAGATGAGTCATGAGAGAACAGCAACATCACCATCATGTATGCATTGGATACTTTACGGTTATGTCCAAACCAATGTTAATCATCACATCAAAGTTGCCATCTGCCTCCATGATTTTTAGCTTATAATTGATGAACAGAAGAATGAAACCTGCAACAACATCATAAATAATCATCAATCTTCTCAAGGTCAAATGCAACCTACTTCAACTTATCTGTTTCTTACATTCATTTCTTCTTATTCCTATTACAGCATTAGACTCCTTCCATAACACCAGAGTAGACTACCTTCTTTTGGCTCCATTACTTCCCAGAGAGATTGACTCCTTCCATAACACCAGATTGTAATTCTTCCTTATCATTGGTATTGGAAATATCACAGAATTTACTCCACTGATATCATCGCATTTGCCTGGTTCTGATTTCTGAAGGGCACTTATCTTTGATTCAGTGACTTGATGGAAATCACTTTTGGATACTTGGTCTCCAGTAAAAGAAACATGGATGTTCTAATTTCATCACCTAAACAACTTTTAGCTGCATTTTTTGCATTGGTTCGAAGCTCTCAAGCTTTTTTCCTTGAAAGTGAAGTGTCTGGTGCAGCATAAATACTTGATATTCAAGCATCCATCTCATTCTCATTCTGAGGGTTTAAGCTGTATCCTATGTCATCATCAGGACAAGCCCATTGGTCACATTGCCACCTTTGTTAGGAGCATGGGTTTCCATTACCCCTGGATTGGAAACAACTGGTCTGTCATACAGAAAAGAGAAACCAGTTGGATGGCGAACAGAATCCCATGGATGTTCAAGTAAGAGCTTGGAGATGATCTCTTCTTTTTTCAACTCTGTAAAATAACACCATAATACCACATATCATTGGCAGAAGGATAATGTACCAGGAGTCAAAACTATATAATACACAGTGTAAAAGTCTGATGCTCCTTGTTCTTACTATGCTCCTGGGTTTAGGGTTTATACCTCATAAATCATAAATTTGTAGCTAATTCTACTCCTACATCAAGGAACCCCCTTCCAACCAGAAAAACACCTATATAAAGATGGAGAAAACTTCTGAGTGATTATTAGCTCCATCCGAGAGCTTTCCACAATGAATACCAATCTCGCATGCCCATTGACAAACAATTCAAAATCGGTGATTTTAAAACTTCAAAATACATAAATAGAAGTAAGCATATCATTATCATTATGGCCTCCTATGAATTTCAATGAGAAAACAACGGGATGAAGGCTAAACACAGTGTGCAGATAAAAAGGGGAAGCATGCATGTATAACCTAAGTTTCTACCTTGAAAACTACTATAATCCCCTGGTTTAATCTGAAATTTAACAGAAGATACCTACTTAAAACGATAATTTAATGCCTACCATGAAATTCGAAGAACTAGAGTTAAATCTCGACTTCAGAAGGCCTGGAGAAGGTGTAATTTCATCGATAAGAAGCCTAGAAGCAATTTGCTCGTAGTACGCTGCGTTTGCCGCTGGGATTGTTCGATGATCCAGTCTTTGCGATCGAAGATTTGAACGAACAACTTCTCCAACGTCATGTTCACCGGCGATGAACCAAATCCATCAAGGCGCTCTTTTTTCCTGATTTATTTGTTATTGAAGCGCGGATTTGAACTCAAATTGTTGGATCCGGCGCTGGAGAGTGCGGCGCTGTCGGAGCTTGGCGTGTCTGACCTTGGTGGTGGGAGCGATATCAGGAGGCTCCGGCGTGCTGTGCGACGTCGAACAGCTGAGCGAGGGCGTCGAGGTGCTCCGTGACGTCGGAGATGCAGATGCAAAGAGAGTGGAAGCTAAGAAGAGAGACGAGGGTAGGGGTTGGGCAAAAAGGAAAACGCCGTGTTCTTTTTTTTCTTTCGGACGAGGCTTTGAGTTTGAGCGGGATATTTTCATATTCGGTTGCAAAAGTTCAGGACCTCATATGGAATCAATATGTTCCATCTATTGTAATAAAACTTAATTGTTAAATATAGAGAAAATGAATAAAAAGACTAAATTGCAAAAATGGTCCTTGTTGTTGTTAAAATTATGTGATTTTGGTCCAAACAAGTTTTGTGGTGCAAGAGTGGTCTAGTTTTGGATAGTTTGTGTGGTTTTGGTCTTTATGGTTGCCATTTTTGTGTGATTTTACTCTACTTGAAATGACAAATATACCCTTAAGTGATTTTTTTTAATTTCTTTTAATTGTATTCTTATTATTTAATTTAAAAATAAATAAAAAATAAAAACTCATCACTCTTAAAGACACTAACCCTCTCTCTCTCACTCTCTCCTCTCTCTCTCGTTTTGTCATAAACCAGAAGAAACACACACCAACCATTTCCTGACCAGAAGACTTAGAGTCCATTTTCATCAGCTTCATCGTCTTCATCTTTCAAGCAAACAGTACATCGATCATCATACTCCACTACAACTTTATACGAAAGAGGCTCATGGACTAGTTACGGCTCAGTAACCACCATCATCACACAAACCACCACCATCTCCGCCCCCGGTCTTTATCTCTCCATCACATACCCACCATGACCTCCTAACATACCTTCATCAGCCATTAAAATCTGCAAATTAATTACATTTTCCAAACTCCAACCTTTCTAAAACCTTCCCACGTACAAATCAAAGTCAAGACCATTGTTACATCAAAGCTACAAACATACTTTTGGATTCAAACATGAGAGCTCGACTTACATATTTCAGGTTAGCCAAGCAAAGTAGAGAAGGTCAGTCTCATATAACCACTAGAGTCGCCGGAACCCATGGCTATTTAGCGTTGGGATAACAGCCATAGATTTGTCTAAGATTTCTTGGCTACGATGCCTTCTTCTTTCAATTGTGTGGATTTTTAGACGTCACGACCACCTTCGTAAGAGTTTTTAGATCTCCTAGCACCGCCACCATTCTTATTTTCTGGAACCCTAACGTCGCCACCCTTCCCATCTGGATGAGGGTTTTGGTTCGATTTCTGGTTAAGGTTCTCCACAGGGATGTGATGGTACTTGGTGGGGATTGCC